TGGCTGTCGTGGCAGATGGTTTCGTGAACAGCTGGCCCACCGTCGACTGGGGGGTAGGGTAGATGCACGAAGGAGGGGGGGTGCGGCTTTGGCGTGGGACAAACACAGCTGCTACGGTTCCGCACGCGTTCGGACGCACCCTCCACCCTCCTCTGACCCCGCCGTCCCCTAGCCGGGCTGTCCGATCAGTGATGGCGATGCTGACAGGCGCGAGTGTGCTTATAGTGGAATGCGGCCGTGGCATCGGTTGCCGTGGCACCATCACGGCTGCTGCCGCCGCCGCCACCTGTGAGCTCATGTTCGCGCGTGCATGCGCAAGCGCGCAGGTGGCCGAACCATCCACCTGGCCAGCACGTCTGTTCACACACACCCACACCCGCGGCTCTGCGACCGTGCGCACCTGGTCGCCTCCCATCGTCGGCCTTCAGGACGCGGAGCGGTGGCAGCTGTTCACGCTGCCACACCCCACACCCTCCTAACGCGTCAGCGCCCTCAGCGGCTCCTCACCCCTCCCCCTCCCCTACCCCCCGCCCCTCGGCCAAATCACGAGCTTGGGCCACCACACCGGTGGGGGGGGGCATCACCACCATCACCGCTGCTGCTGTTGTGGTTGCCATGGCCCCATCTGCCCCATCGCAGGAGTGGGGATAAATTAAGACGCGATCCCCGAAGAGGCTGTTGGAGTGGGGCCTCGTACGCGAAACCTGGTAGTCTCAGCGCCCGCGTCAGCGATGCCTGCCACTTCGCTCGTTGCCACAAAGTCTGGGATACGTCTGACTGCCTCTGACCGCCGTGAGAGACAAGATCTACCACTGAGTCCCACGAGGTGGGAGAAATCGTGCTTTGCCTACGAAGTTGTTTATAACTTCCTAAACCAATAATTTTCCGGTGACAAGACAACGTCAAGAAGTGACTAACATGACTAAGCAGTCCGTTACGCGCCACCGGGTCCCCGTTCTATGGTCATTTGTTAGTGATACTGTTTTAAAGGTCCTGAGTACAAACAAGTCATCCAATCAACTGACAACTTTCCAAGTCCACTCTGTTAGCATGCCGCGATAGTTTAAAATCGCGTCTTTCGATGTCGCCTGAATGCAAGGCACATGTGTATTCTGCTACTACATTGTAACTGAAGTGTAAGGGATACCCTGTGCGGGCACCCACGGTGTTGTCATACGGTCACTCCAGGTGCAGCGATGCGACTAGATGCGACATTTCACTGACGAGGATACCCTGCCGCACAGCAGACCGTCGTTGCCGAAGATGTTCACCGTGTCCTCCGCAGCGGTGTGAGAACAGGGACGTTGAATTGCTCGTTAATTAGTTTATAGTAATAGTGGACTTGCACAGCATCTATCGCACTCTCTACTCCACCCTCACCTGAGCCCGCTGTCGTAACAGGGTCGAAGGGACGGGAAATAGGAGAGGACGTCGGTAGCTGACACAGCGTAAACCCATACCACACCCCCTGGTCCACAACATACACTGACCGGAATTTTATACCACAGCAACAAATAGGAGGCTGCTCGGACCCCAAGGAGCGCGGCGTGTACCGACACCTTGGTCTGCCGCCGCAACCCAGTACTGGCATTTGTTATGGGTGCGCATTCCCAATAACACCTGCCGAACGCCGATCTCATGAAATGTTGACCGAAATTCTGAAATGCGTTTTCGATTACGAAGGGTTACTTAAGTGGGATTGTAATATTGTTCATCATGAGACCTAATCCTATAGTAGGACGGACTTGCCAGGATGTCGGCTTTTTAATGCACGTCTTTTCGACCTTCGGCAGAAACCAATCTACGCAAAAAAATGGCTACTTAAGTAGCCTGCATTTATCACATTGATTTTCGATGTTCCTATAAATTCAAATAAATTTTATAGGAAACGTGCACAAAATATGCGTTCTTTTATAGCTTTGGTCGAAAATCACATTATCTTCACGTTTTATACTCGAAGAAAGCGTGTATTCAGGTTTTGAAAAAGTTTCCCAGTTTACGAATAATTTTGAGCCAGATCAACCGTTGCATTAGCGCCTAGCGCTTCCAGTCTACAAGGTACATGCTATCCGCGTAAGGAAAATCATACATTCCTATATTACTTTAAGAAGTTACCATGTGGAGTTCATTGAAATTTTGTAATGGACGCTGACTATGTTGTACGTTTCATGAGGAGCACTGGTGAACGGGCATGTGTGATGCTGTATGTATGGACATCGCACGGTCTTAAAAGTTTATAATTAGGTACTTTTTAAAACCGAAAGATACAATTTCTTCAAGTATTTAACGTAAAGATAATGCGATTTTATACCAAAAGAATAAAAGAAAGCATATTTTTGTGCACGTCTCTTATAAAATATATTTGAATGTATAGGAACATCAAAAATCAACGTGAAAAATGCATGCTACTTAAATAGTCTTTTTTTACAGGGATCGGTTTCTGCCGAAGGTCGCAAAGAAGTCCATCAAAAAGTCGACATCCTGGCAAGTCCGTAATTCTATAGGATTATGTATCATGATGAACAATATTACAATCCCACATAAGTAATCCTTCCTAATCGAAAACGCATTTCAGAATGTCAGCCAGCATTTCATGAGATCGGTCACGCACTGTACACTCCCAACACTTAACACGCACCAAGGTGGAGCAGAGGCGGTGACAGGTGGGCACGACGAGAGTGGTAATAAGCACCCATGAGCCGTCGCATCAATGGACCTGGTTGATGTTTCTGTTTCGCCCCTCCCAACACCCAGCTCTCATCTGGCACTCCCTGAGGTCGCGGTCAGCACATCAGCCACGCCCCATTAACCCTCCTTGACCGGTGGGCTGAACCAGATGAGGGTTTACGGAATGTGTGTGTCTTCGTACCCGGTAGTCCCTTCCCAGCCTCAAACAAACAGTTCTACAAGGGGGGGGACTACATGCAATGCCGCAGGCGACCCGGATCAGCTGGGATCCGCAGCCGCCTGGGGTGGGTAAGCGTCCCTACTTAGGGTTAGCACTGCTTACCCCGAAAAAGTGCTGGCAAAGCATGCCGTGAGCAGGCTGACCGTGGCTTGTAGGCGCAGAAATGCGGCCAAAAACATAAACAAACAATAACCCCCTTCACCAACCGATACCCCCCCCCCCCAGACTACCAGAGCAACACTGCTTAATCGGGTTGGCTGGAATTCAGACCGTCTGGAAAGAGGGGGGTGCCTTTGGTCGCCCGCGAACTGGTGGCAGATACACTCTTTTCTGCAGTAGACGCCCAAAGGCAGGGGCGACGAAATGCCGGAGTCGCCTTCCCCATCAGGAATGACATCATGGGACGGCTATCATGCCTGCCGCAGGGCGTCAATAACCGTTTCATGATCACGAGGCAGCCACTCAGCGAAAACAAATTCGACACCGTCGTAAGTGCCTACGCCCCCTCCCCCAAAGATCTACTTTAATTGACGGCAATTATGGAACTTGTTAAATATGCGTTCATCCGAGAGATGGCAAGAAGCCGAGATAGTATTCGTCACAAGAATCAAATCGCAAAGACAGATATGTCCAACGGACGTCTACAACGTCAAATGAACGAAGATTAACAAGGGCGTCAGTAAGAGGTTTGTCCTGAAATTCTTTCCCAGCGAGAAAAGCAACCCACTTCTTGATCCGATTATGCCGTGTGGAGAAAAACTGTACTCACTTTGGCCTTTTACACTGGACCTCGCGCCAACTGTTTCGTCACTTTTTGGGCAGCTCGAGGACTTTTTGCTAGAAAAAAGCCCCCCACAGCCGAAAGGCGGCCAAATGGGCCCTCAAAGCATTCGTCAGCCCCGAAATTTTATAATGATAAAGTGAATAACTGTGCCGTTACTTATAATCTGTGCTTTCATTAGGAAGGATTAATTAGCTGGGGTTGTAATACTAATTGTCACGCGGTATAATCCCACGCTATTTCGGACTTCACATGATGTTAGCTTTTGAATGCACTTCTCTTTGTAGCAGCCAACGTCCTCTTCACATTTTCTGCTCGAAAAGGGAATATTTAGGCTCTGAAAAGTTTTAAATTCCCGAATAATTTCAAGCCAGTCAACTGCTGCCCTAGCGTATAGCGATTGAAGCCTAAAAGGTGTATACTCTCTGCGTTGAGAAAATAATTTATTCCTCCATGTCTTTGAGAAGATACCATGCAGATTTCAAAAAAACTGCAATGGATGTGGACTATGTTGTACCCTTCTTGAGCAGTATTTATTAACGGACAGGTAAAATGCTGTTGAAATGGGCATTGCAGTTTTGGAAAATCTTCAAGTATAAAATAGGAAGAAAGTATGACTTACCATCAAGTGAGTAAAAAAAGCATACGTTGTGTATGCTTTCTATAAAATATGTTTGAATGTATAGGACCATTGAAAAGTAATGTGAAAAAGGTATGTCATATAAGTAGCCACTTTTTACCGAGTGCGATTTTTACAAGTCGAAAAG